CTTGATGTGCAGTCCAGTGCACTAACCATCAGACCACAGTGTCTCTTCAATTTCCACAATAACAAGTTATAAACTAAATAGCATGAAGCTAAATGGTTAAGGAAGCACTGATACATACATTGGAAGGAAATCGATTTGGGTCCCTCCTCCCACAAATGAGCATTCATCAACAACAGTACCCCAGGCACAGCTGGGCGTAATGAACACATGAAATGGTGAAATGAAGAAATAGCGAAATGATGAAATGGTAAAATGGAACTAAAGACAAGAGCCAAAGACATATTACCGTTCCACTGAAATCTCCATCTGTTGCCGAATCTATTCTGTAGATTAATCCCGACAAGTAAAAGAAACATCTACAATCACAAATTCGCCGTCACCGGATATTCTTGATCAAAATGGCGGCGTCCACTTTTGTCATCGGAAGAAAACGATTTGTTTATCTCGTATTTACCATGCTATGACGTTATGCTTTGAGCTCCAGCAATCACATGAAGTGGATTATCAAAACCAAACCCACTTCATGATGAAGTTTATACACGATATTTGGCAAACATGTACTTTGCACAGAAACGGACTGACGTCGGATGTTTATATCAAGTAGATACGAGGCAAGCTTTGTTAACAAAACGATTACAAGTACCAATGCAGAGAAAAAATTCTTCCTCGCAAGAAAGTGACTACACCCCCACCCCTCTCCCCCTAAACTCAAAAATGAAATGGTCCGTCCCAAAACAGAATAAATCGGACAACAATTGCAACTTTTATTGGAGCGGTGATATCTTATAACTTTGGCTCTTATCTTTAGTACCATTTCGCCATTTTGTCATTTCGCCATTTCGTGTTTTAAACATGCCAGGCACAGCTACATGTAGGTTATCTTGTCACATACATGTACATAACAAAGCTGAACAACAGTGAAACAACCACTTCCCTGTTTGTTTCATTTTTGCCTGCATTGTGTGTTAACTATTCCTAGAACAGGTAACAAAAGTTACTATATATTTATCATTAAAATAATAACCACTCTAATCAAACAAAGAGAAATCATGATCAACTCACCTCACGTGGGATCTAAATCTCAAAGTGAATTGATTTTCCATACGTCTCAGCACATAGACTTTATTGATGCTTCTCTGCTTTCTTTCTGGTAACAAAAAGGAAAGGTCTTAACGCATTAAAGCCTTGTAAGCAATGGAAAAACTGCAAATAACAAACAAGAGACTGCTGCCTTAACATGAATGGTAGAACAACAGGACAGGGCAAACTGTGCCTATAGCATGCAGAATGATAGCAACATCTACCCAGAAGGGTCCCCCTATTGATTTATTTTACCAATAATCTTGTCCACAGAATGCAGGACGTGTATGCTGGGAAAATAAATAGGGCTTACATGTACATGTACATTTATAATTATATAACAGCTGTCATGCAACCAGAATTTGACTGCTAAGAACCTGTGTCTACTTAAAGCAATATGCTGAACAACTGAACCACTATAAACTAATCTTAATAATCTGCGATAGCCAGAAAGGATAATTATTTAACATCGCTTGAGATTGTTGCGAGCAGTTTCAAGTTGATAATAGATTCAACTTCACACATTAAGGTCTGAAAGGATTTGTCACCTAAATGACTCCTGTGATCCCAAACATCTGTTGAAATAGCTTTTTTTTTTCAGGCTCTTGTTCATCACCCACCATTGGTTTCATTCACGTGATTAAAAAAATGATCACATGATGACAAACATCTCTTGGCATGGATGGCAAGTTTGCAGCACAGCTATTGCAAATTCCTCAAAAGTAACAAGTTTAAGGCAAACTTAATCTCATCCGAGTAATGGATTTTGCATCTGTCAAACTCTTTTCTGCCACATATCTTGGATTGTATCTTCCTAGAAAGTGCAAAACTTAACAAACTTGCAAACAAAGTGTGAAGCAACTTACCCAACAGCAGAGGTTCACCCATCACATGATCATGAAATTCATTATCACGTGTAATCATTTTTTTAAATTATGTGAATGAACCCAATGGTGCATGCAATATTGGCTTGAAAGAAAGCCATTTCAATAGACGTCTGGGATCAATAGCTGCCTCGTTCCCAGACGCCTCTCTCTTTCTTCGAGGAAAATGGCCACGCAAAGGAAGAAGCTCTAAAGACAGGATATTTTTGGCAGCCATAAAACTGAATCCAGCCGAACCCACAATTTTATCTCATTGTGACGTTAAATGCCGTAATGGAACTTATAATAATGTGTAATAAATCAGTGTCATCTATGAAATTTTCCATGTTTATACATTGTTAGGCTCTAGAATAAATGGAAGTCAAAGTTTTACTAGAGATGACCAGTTGCTAGAGTTAGTTTTGATCAAGAAGATTACATTATACATATAAACATACATGTATTAAATAAATATGTGGTTCCTATTCTTAAAATACTCTTAATTCTAGTTTAGTAATTTAACCCATCAGTCTGAACCTAAGTTAACTTTCTAATCTTCCTAACATACAAGTAAGTGGACACCCTGTATTGTGTGGACACTTGCAGACAAAGTTCCAATGGTGTCCACTTATCAGAGGTTTGACTGTAATCCCTCTACATGTAGCAGTGGGTGACTGAATATTAATTCTTTCAGGCTTTCTTTGTCTTGCTGTTAGGTGTTACCCACCGTAAATACAGTAGTTTTTGTATACATGTACATGTAGTTGCAAAGATTCTTGTCACGTGTATGATTTATTTCACATAGGGGCATAATATTTATCATCTCATGGTTTCCCTTTGTTTTGCATAACAATAATGAACAGCTGTTTCATTAAGGGTCGGGCACCAGACAAATTGACTGGCCGTGAACAGAACTTTCCCCAGCGGCTTCACTGATAATTTATATCGTACTGTTGTTGCCCTATGCTATTTCCCTGCGGCTAACAGTCATCTGAAAAAATTAGGTTATTTCAAATCATACAAAATACAATTTTGCTGGTAAAAGTACGCATTATCTCTGTTGTATCTTCAAATTGGCCTGCAAATTCACCCAATGATGCTTTGCGGAAACATGTTACACACACAAGCCCACTTGAAAAGTGTCAAAATTACGCAGCAAATAACCCAATAATTTTCTGCTCCGGCAAAGAAAAGGTCCAGAGGTACAATGTAGGTAGCTTTATGTGAAAAAAACTTTGGGGCGCAATATGTTAAAAGGGTTTTATCTACTTTGTGTCACGGTAGCACTGTGAAGTGAGAAGTAAAAAGTTTTTCGCAGATAATCTTGCTTAGGAGAACTGCATTATTTACATACAACTTATTGCAATCACGTTGTCATAGAAAAAAGCAAAAAGCCAAATAGGAATTAATTTGGGAAATTTAAAGTTCCATTGTTCTTAAATACTGTACATGAATGAAAAATACATTTTTCATTCATGTTATTCATGTACATTATATTTTTCATTCATGCACAGTATCTGAAAACAATGGAAATTTAAATTTGGCTAATTAATTCCTATTTGGCTTTGTGCTTTTCGCTTTTTTCTATAACAGCGTTATTGCAATTAGGTGTATCTATTTACATAGGAAACTTCAACCAAAGAGCCTGTTTTAATTAGCAGTCTTCTTGTTGAAAACCTTTTACTTGCATAATGAAATATTAAAATTAAATGTACTCCCACATTTCCCTTCAAGAGTAAATGGTTTGAAATTAACCGAAAAATACAATTACTGCAGAACTCTCCGGTTCATGGTTCGTTTCTATTTATATTTATAGCAAAAATAATATAATAATTTCGAAAATATACTTGAGAATGTTCTTTTTTTTCCCGTCTATAAAGTGTGACAGCCTAGAAATCAAGCGACAAAATTATAGATAGTCATCTCAATTGGTTTGCTGTTTTCACTGGTTGCCCAGCAAGTGACCAAGTTAGAGTTTCAAGTTTCATTTTTCTACAAACAGCAGACAAAAAATATAACCTGTTTGCACCAAATAAAGAATAATATGCTCAGGTTTATCATTCTCCTGAAAACCTTTATTCTGTGCTATTAATTCACTTTTAAAATGCTGGAAAGAAGGAAACTCACACATGATGTAAGTCCATGCAGAACCCTGTTCAAGTGGTTTGCTAACCATGCATTTTCCACCATTCACTGTATTTAGAAAAAAAAA